GCAACCGCCACAGCCGTTACCCCAACCGCCCTCATCGCGCTCGGGCTCTGCACAACTGCAGGCAGGCACTGCCACGCGATTTCAAAGCCTGCTTTCTAACGGCAACGCAACCGCTGCAAGTTTAGCATTTTTATGGAGAACTCTAAGGGGAAAAAAAAAATTTGAACTGGTGATGATCTTGCCATGATGACTAGAAGTAGCATCACCTCTGAAGGAATGGAAGTTTGCCTCTGCAAATTACTTCACATGTTAAATGTGGAAGGTCAGTTCTCAAAAAAGCCCAACAAACCAACCTACCAAAAAAAAAAACCAAAACCACAACCACAAAAAAACCCACCACCAAACAAACAAACAAAAAAACCCCACCAAACAAAAACTATGCATGAAATTCTGCATTTCCAGAACATTGTTCTAAACATAGGGTGTTCAAAAGCTAAGCTGCTTGTAGGTGAAAGAACTATCCCAAAATGTAGAAGTGCTAATACCTAGAAAATAACTGTAGTGACCTAAACTTTTTTTTTTTAAATTCAGATGTTCCTGTAACCCTCCAGACCTGCTTGCTCTGCAACAGAAGTGCCTGGCAGGGCGGACTCCAAGCGCTTGCATTTTCAGGTAAGGGTATGTACCTTTTCCGGGGGTAAACAGCAGAGAGGCACGCTTCCCTCTGCTCTGCACCACGGCCTTAGTGCCACAGCTCGTCCAGCCACTACATGTTCATAAATCTCTAACTGAAGCGCTCAGTGCAGCAAAATCTAACACGTAATTACATATGCCAGGATTACAACATATGTTTCCTGTTGTTCTCAGTAAAATTTATTTCTGCAGGCAAGCCAGGAGACCAAAAGGGATAAATAACAAGACAAATGTTGCCTGAATTCCTTAACTCTACAGTGACACTAAAGGAGAGTAAAAAAAAAAAAGGAAAAAGGAGTCCTTAAAAGATTAAGGCTTTTGTGACTTGATTTTGGAAGCTCTGAAACACCATCTGACCTGTAGTACAAAGTTTTTGTTTGGTGTTTCCCAGGTTTTTGAAGCAGCAACAAAACTTCAGAGGGTCTCTGGTACAGAGTACATAGTGCCTGAAGCAGTTGAAACAAACACCTCGTGTGTATACATACAAGGTGAGCAGAATAAAGCCCCTATTTGCAATGAACATTTTAGAAGTGTAATAATTTATTCCAGAAAAATAGAGATTTGAATTTCAATATTCAGAGAAAATAAATTTTCTGGTGTCCTCCTTCCCTTCTTTCCCTGACTTTCTTCACCATCTGTGGTTCGCTGCCTTGTTCATCTGCCTCCTGAAACTGCCTCTCCACTCAAATTCAGACCTTTTCTACTCTGTCCCACCTTGCCAACCCCAAAGTCTCATCTCACTGAAGGCCCAAACAGGGAAACTCCCTGCCAAACTCCCTGCCAGCTTACTGCCTACTACCCTTCCCTACCCTCACGTCTTCCCAGATCCATTCACATTAATCATGCTCAACTGAGACATCTTCATGAAGATGGCAAGATCATGAATTGAAACTGAGCATGTTCTGGTTTGAAGGCTATTCCCCAGCCTTCCTGTGCACTCTGCTACTAAGTCCGAGCGACACTCTTACCAGCTCATCTTGTGAGTGACATCTTAAAAATCAGGAAGTTTACATTTACCTGTTTTTGCTGTAACTTTTTTTCTCTCAACTCTCAAAATACTGGTATTTTTGGAAGCCAAAGGAAATAATGCATTTCCCTACAGATGCAGTTGCTAATTTCAAGATTTTTTCATGACATTAGCAAGGAGCTGGACTTTTTAAAATTATTGCTAAAATACAAGTACGGTTTTGAGACAGAAAATGTCTCTTTTCATCAATCTTTGCACTGAACTATTTCAGTGAGAGACTTTTTACTTTCAGAGCATGTAAAGAAGTACAACTTTAAAACCACAAAGTAAATGTCTTCATAATGGGGTGAATTAAGACTGAATTACCCTTGAACACAAGGCAACTTTCTAAAGCAGTAATTCACATGGAAAGGAATCATCTCTAATCGAGAGACATTTTCAGTATTTTTTACAGAAAACAGTTTATGTTTCATCTAACCTGAAGTGCTCCCAGCTTCCTCAAAATCAATGTTTCCAAGGTGAAGGACACCAGCGACTACTCTAAAAAGATCGAGTTTTTCTGCATCATCCAGCCCAATCTTTTTCATTGCTGTGCACATTCTGTTAAAATCTCCATGATCATCTAAAAGTGGATCCTTCAAGGAACCTGCTTTGAGATACTATAAAACAATAAGATAAACCAAAAATTCAGTAAGTGATTTTAAAGTAAATGTAAGCAGTTATTTCCCGCCAAGAATAAACCATAACAAAAAACATAAAAAAGCATGCAAAACCCAAACTAAGTAGAAAGAAATTAGAGCTCTTCATACAATACAGGCTTTGCAAGAACTGTGATTTGTTATAATTTGTTGATACTTTGAAGTATGGTCTTCAAACCATCTTCAGAAAGCAGACGTTGGAGCGCGTGACAGCTAAGGACAGGGGAATACAGGACAGCGAGCAGCGGAAAGGGAGAGTTTGGCTAAGGAAGCTACCGAGGAGCACTTCTAGCCCCAGGCAGCTGAAAGAAGATTGAGGTCCTTGTAATAGAATGACAAAAAGTCTGACAGGCCACGGGAAAGAAATACAGGACAACTCAGAATTGGAAGAGTTATCCCTATCACAAACAGACTTAATTAGAGAAATATACACTCGTTAACGTTTGCTGGTGATTAAGAAACAGTAGTTTGCAGCATTCTATGGGTTAAAAGAATACCAGCTACATTTAAAATATCAATTTAACATTTTGCTCATTTTCCTAATTTAAATAGATCAAAAGCCATTTTATTTATTAATTGTTTTAAGTAGAAGATAGTAACACATCTGCATGCAATCAAGAGTAACTGAACATGCACAGACTGATCTAAGGTTTTACAATTACTTTAAAATGTTTTCAACTAAAAAGAATAATTAACTTTAAATGGAACTCTTGTTAATGTCAAATAAGCTAATGTGATTTTTATCAAAACAAAACACCACATGCATCTGAAAAATTCACTTCACACAACATTTAGACACATCAATAAAATTAAACTCCATCTCAATTATGTAGAATGATCACCTCATCTTCCTGATAAGGAAAACACAAAAATAATTTAAGTATTAATTGACTATTCCAACTACTTTTACTAAAATAAACAATCTTAGTATTTTTCAGTAAATGACACAGCAAATATTAAATTTCTGATTTAAAAACCTGAACACCACAATATTATTTCCCATTTAAGTGGCTAGACTAAGTTTTAGTATCATTGAAATGCGATCACTTATTGCGCCTTCAAATTGACATGGCTGTAACACACACGTATTATGGCATCATATGTTCCACTGTTTAATGTCCAATACATATTTTCAGAATTATTATTTCAGTATGTTTTAGTTTAGACATTTATTTCAAATTCAGTCCTTTAGAGGACACATTTTATGACAGAAGACCTGCCTGTAAATCACATCAATAACAGAAGATTGCATAGGTTCATCTGCCAATAGCAAGAAAAAGTAAATGTTTATACTTTATGCCTACATAAATTACCAAGTTCACTACAAATCTTAATTTAAGGCAAATTAGGTAAACTGAGGCAAAATCTCCCAACCATCTCTTAGCCTATATGCTCGAGAAGAATTAATTATCTACCAGCTTTCTGCCTCGCAGTAATATCAAATCAGCATTTCTGTATCTCACTCTCCACCATCCTCAATTACAGAAAATAGCCTAAATTCAAGGAAAAGAAATTGGCACTGTGTGCTCAGTGTTATGCTACAAATTCTGGTAATTCCAGTTTAAAAAAAAAAAAAAGTAAACAGAGATGGAACAAGAGGAAAGAAATGTTCTGAAGCTTCACACAACAAAAACCAATAAAGAACGCAGCATACTGGGGAGGGGGATACGTTCATCCTGGAAGCAAAGTTGCACTAATGTTTTATAAAACAGTTTGGAGAATCACTTCAAAAATCCAGACAGTAAAAACGTCTGGAAAAAACTACTGCTTCTGACCTATTCCTAGTAGTAGTAAAATTTAAAAAGAAAATGACAGAAAGTCTTGGACTGATTTTTGTTTTCCACAGAAGACAAGCTGCATCATTACGTGTTATATTATTGTAAGAACAAAGAGTTAACAATTTTATATACTGTTCCACTTGGGATTTTAAGATGCATGTTAAAATGTATTTCTAGGACAGAACTCCAAAACCAGAGTTCTGAATATACCAGCTTTGACAGTATCCATTTAGACCTACGAAGATGTGTAAAATGAACATTTCACTCCACACTGTAAAACTGTAATCATCTTTTTCAACTCTATCTGCATTAGTTAATAATATAAACTAACTGAAGATACAAACATACCTCAGGGCTCTTGCGATTTTGCAAAATCTGCTTGTCTGTTTCTTTGTTAGCAAAGTATCTGGTACAGCCTCGATTTAAATACTGTAACAATAAAAAAGTGGAAATGCATACTTAAAAGACAGAAGTAAGGAAAACATGGTTTTATTTAAGGCTTGCTCTACATAGCTTGATTTATTCATAGGATACTAACAACATGCTAGGTATTCAGAATTCATTCCTTGAAAATGTATTTATTTACATCCACAAAATCACAGAAGTGCAACAGTAACAAACTTCTATTGAAAACTAAAATACTTTTTGACACAGTGGGATATTCATTTTGTCAAGTCCCACAATCTTTTCTTAATGTTTGACTCTACTAAACCTAGTAATGGAGTCTGGGATTGCAGAAAAGACAATCAAAAGCAGGAACCAAGAAAATAATTTTCTGGCCTATACATAATACCAAACTTTACTCCAGTACTTTTATGTACAGAAGATAAAAAAAAAAATCCACAATAATCTTTATGTTTTAAGCAATATATAGGTTTTATGTAGCACATGCAGGGGTGAAATGAGTAGGATCAAAATATGCATGGTACTATGTCCAGTGTAGCTTTACGGTGATTTTTTTCCTCATCAGTGAAGTATTTCTATAGGTAGTAGGAGACACAGCATAATAAAAAGCTTGAAGAGTATTAAAAGCTTATAACATGGTACAAGCAGAAGCCTACTTCAGAATCTGGCTTCTGATATCAATTTCAAATTGTATAGTAAAGGGAACAGACCAACCATTCAGATAATGACTGACACTTGCAGCAAAATGGGATTGCCAGCTTTTTCTTTCTGATTTGTTCAGTTGAAAGTAAGAACTCTGTCCAAAAGCTTGGACAGAGCCCTTTGTCTAAAGGAAGTGAACTGATTCTTTGCTCTAGCCCATGAACAAAGAAGATTTTTTTCAACCTGGTGAACACAGATAATTCTAGACTTTGATTAAAATTTATATACAAAATTGTAAAAAAATAAAAATCTTCTTCAAAGCATTTCTAACAACAGAAGAAAACTAGGTGACAAATTTAGTATTAAAGTGACAAGAAACACTGTTGAAAGTTAGCTTGGTATTTAACAAAATATTGAAAAGTTTTCTTTATCAGCCAGTAAGAATGCAAAGCACAGCATATTTTAAACACAACAATATACCCCTGTATTACAGTATTAGTAACACGATCCCAGAAACTGGGGATGGGAAGTGAAAGAGGTCATACTTTTCAAGAACAGAGTGTGGAAACTTATCTGACAGACTGTGAACATGAACCAGCACAGTATTCAATAACAACCTATGTAGGAGACATTTAGTCACAAGATAATGGCTTTTATTTGAAAGCTAAAAACTCAAATTTACATTTTAAATGTAGGAGAAATTACATTTTAAAGCACACAAATACACAGATTGAGGTTATCATGTATAACATCTAAATACCATTCTGCTTTTTGCCTTTTTTTTTTTTTTAAACTCTGAAGTACAACATCCCATTATAACATCGGTGACCCAATCAGACAATCTGATTCATCTTCCAGAAATTAAGATCTCAAAAAAACCTCAGCTTCTAATTTCCATAAACTACACTCCAGGTGCAGACTTACTGTGCAGCTTTACTTGCAAAGCCATGGGATACAGTCCAAGCCAGCTGGACCTACGAGGTTTAGCACAGCCTTACCTAATGACTCTGACTCTCTGAAAACCTTCTGCAAGGGAACCTAAAACACAAAGGAACCTAAAACACAAGCACTCGGGGAAAGCGCAGGGGAAGGACAAACTAAAAGAGAGGTCATCCTCATCAGTGCTGCCAAAATTAGGCAACAGTTCAGGCAGGTGCAGTCATGTTGGTTCACGTGCCCAGAGCAAGCACACACCTACGCCAAGACGGCCAAACGCATAGGGATGAGATTACAGGGGATCGCTTAAGTCAAAGGGAAGCGTGCCTACTAGGGGGGAGAAAGAGCATTGTTTCCTTCAGCTTTTAATACTGTTTCACTTTGGTGAAAAATGAGAATTACCTTAGAGTTGAGACAGTCTTATTTTCAAGCGAGTGTAGTTAACTGAAACCAGGCATTAGGCAAAACACACGTGAGTGTTAGGACTCAAGCTGGCCTAATGCGGACTTTGACTCGACAAGCTACAAGGCACAAGACAAGTGGCACAATCGAGCTGATGCAAAACTGTGTCTTAAGGGATGGATTTTTCTAAATAACCAATTTAAGAATATGATTTTTTTCCTGAACATTTTTCTTGTCTAAAAAATTAGCATTAACATCAAAACACTGATCATTCATCAAACCTTAGAATCACAGAATGGTTCAGGTGGGAAGGGACCTTAAAGACCATCCAGTTCTGTACTGGCAGGCTGCTCTAAGGTCTCCCCGGAGCCTTCTCTTCTCCAGACTGAACAACCCCAACTCTCTCAGCCTGTCCTCATAGCAGAGGTGCTCCAGCCCTCTGATCAACTTCGTGGCCCGTCTCTGGACTCATTCCAACAACTCCATGTCCTTCTTAACTTGCCTAGTATAATATAACCATCTATTATTAGAAGCTTGAAAGATGGTTTTTCCATGGAATTTGAACCAGAGACATATGTGGTTAACAAAAAATGTGGTAAAAAAGTGACAGAAGTATGATTATTCTCAGAGCCATTTTATGATAAAACCTGAAGCAGCAAATGAGAATGAAGAACACAGAGAAAATAATCCTGACAAAAGTAATACAAATTTAGGAAGAAAATAAACCTTTTACAGGTTTTTTTTTCCCCCCTAAAAATCTCCTATAAAGTCATACTTCATGAAAATTTAGTGTAATATGACTAATAAAATTTAGGTATATTTTTATTAACTTACATACATACAAAGATGAAAATGATTTTTTTTTAATTAAAGATAATCTACTTTAACTTCAGAAGGAAAAAAAAAGGTTAAAATTTTATATTTAACATGCAGAGTGGATCTTTCACATGCAGCAAGGAAGTCGTGATTCAAATACTGACAAATTTGGTAAAGCAATAAATATTCTTAATGGAAATTAAAGTACCTGCTGCAAACTTAGTAGAAGTAAAAAATATTATGTCACAGTGTGATAAGGCTGGTGTGACTGTAAACTTTTTATAAATGAAACAGGCAAGTGAGTGCCTTCTGTAAAGGCACACAGGCTGTTCAGTACCGTACTGCACCAGACTGATTTTAAGCAGGTTATAATTCTGACCTTGACATCCACAACCTTGTGTGCTCTCATCAGCAGACTTCTTGATTTAAAAGAAGAAATCCCCAAGAGTGGGCACTCAGCATATTCAGTTCCAGAATTAAAAATCTATTAACTACAAGAAATGGAAAAGTGGCTGCACAATAAAAATATATGTTTGAAAATTCGTTCAAGATTTTAGCTTTAAAGCATACAAGAGAATATTACATAGAATAATTGCAAAATAAAGATGAAAGTTTTAAAAACTAGCTCCATATTGTATGAAAATAAACAGTGTTGGGGTTTAAGTATTGTGTTTGTTGGGTGTTTCAAAAGAAAAGCTTTCCTTCTAGAAAACAGAAGCAGGTCTTTCTTAATAAGCATCAGCACAAGTTTGCATTGCAAAACTGAGTATAAATAGATGAACTATAGGAAAATACAAACTAAATATTTTAAAAAAATTATACAAGGTCTATAAATGCCCCTACGAACACCTTTGAGGAAGTAAGGAAACTCATCCTAAAATACTGCCATGGCTTTTAGGGAGCAAGTTCACCTAGATACCACAGTACAAACGTATGATGTGCACAATATGGAACTGCAGCTCTGTGCCTCTTCCCTGGCTCATAGGTACGTGGGGACTGGCACGGCCAAGCCAACCGGCAGCAGCAACCTGTTCGGTCATCAGCGTACAGCCACCTTCCCCACAACAAGTGCGCTAATTTAGGTCTCACCTATGCAACCACTGCTTCGCACAAAACCAGGAGGAACTTTGTATCTTTAAGGCTTCTAGCCCTCTGCTGAATTCTGATGAAGATGAGTAGAAAAGATCTTGGGGAAAGTAACAGATAAGCACAGTCCAAGTTTTATTTAGAAATCTAAGTAGGAAAATACACCAACAAAGAAAACAATCAACACAGTAATGTAATGCTTTGTTAGCAGTGCTCCTCACTGCATTTAAGATCAAGGAAATCTAAAAAGATGACAGTCAATTAATTTATATCCTTGTAATTGCACATGGTCTCCAGGGTTGTGTTACAAAACCCTTCCAAACCCACGACAGAGATTTAGTCTGTGTATTTCAGAAATATACAAAATTCTGCTTCCCTGAGATTCCAAGCCAGGCACAAGCCAAAAGACAGTGGAGAGATGGAGACAAATGACAGAACATAAGCAAACAACTGACCAGTATTTACCAGTAGGATTTGATTGGCCAGTATTTTCCCCTTCAATGCAAGTAAAGAAAGCACATGGTGGTATCTCTAGGTATTTGCAGTTCAAGTGTGAGCGTCAAAAGGAAAACAAAACAAAAACCTATTTATAAATTTACATATAATTAAATAAAAAAAGAAGGCAAGAGTCTTCACCTTACTAGTAAAATTGGTGATGACAGTGTAAGATGTGAATAGGCTTAGAAGGACCCTGAAAGGGATGGCAGAAGCTTGCTTTGAAGAGAAAGAGAAGGGACAATCAGGAAAACAATGAGAAAGAGCTGTATCAGTAAAGCTGCACTGGTTGGATAAAAGTTCAATAATATTCGTTTCTCAAGAAAGAAAAAAACTGCAACAATTGAGATGTAACACACTGAGAAATTAAAAGAGAATTTAAAAATAAGGGAAATGGGGTTGGAATCACTCAGACAAATACAGAAAAAATTTTGACTGAATTTTTTGACTGACAAGACAGGAAAGAAAGCAAAAGGAAACGTCTTGTTATTTGTCAATCATTTTTAAAAACAATTCAGTGAAATCTGAAGAGAGAAGGAAAAGAGAAAAAAGGAAAGCTGGAGGAAAAAAGTTAAACTGAAGTAGTAAAACTGTTCAGTGGAAAAATGGGAGGAAAACAATGCAAGAACTTAATGGCAGGACAGAAAGCCAGCCTGTTTGTGGGATTGCCACTAGAAACATAACACAGAATCAGTGTTAATCAGAAGAAACCACATAATCTCAGAAAAAGGCAAAAACCTTAAAAATAAAGCATGGGAAGAAGAAGGAAAGGCAGTAAGCAAATCAGAAGACATAAGAACAGACACACTGGATTGAATTAAAATGCCCATACTATCCAAGGGCTTGTCTTCAACCATGACCTCTGCTTCACCCAAGGATTTTACTGTTCCTTTCCAAGTTGTTTACAAATATGGATGTACACTGCAGCATAACTCACTATTTCATTCTCCCTTTCTTTCCTAGTAACTCCTAAAATTCTACTCTGCTTTTTCCCTACCATTGAACATTAACCTAACATTTTTAAAGAAGTAAAAACAATGACTCAAGTCTTATTTCCCTGATGTTTATTTTAAGTTCACTTTCATTTAGGTATAGTTAGGAGTATTACATTCAGCACTGATTTTAAGTGCATTTTATTGGCTTCTCCATTACTTGACTGCCTGGACCAGCAACCTTTCCAGGTTCTGGAAAGATAGCCAAAACTCAGAAATAGTAAGTAGACCTCAGGAAAGAATAAAATAGGTGAAGAAAAACCTAAGAGGGACGATCGTACTTAATGAATAGAAATAATCCTGGCAGGAAGAGCTGAGCATGGGCTTTGGGTCAATTGGAGATACAAGGGTAAGCTTTCAGCTGAAAGGGACTGGTGAGTCTTATCATGTAACCTGGAGTGACCAAGAATGAAAGAGAAGTATGATGAGAGGAATGGGAGAGGCTCAAAACTGGAGCAGTACAAATGACAATCTAGAGTGTAAAGTACAGTATGATAGGAACAAGGTGCAACAGAGCAGAAAAGAGAAGTTATGTGAAAGCACATGGACTGGAACAGAGAAACACAACCACCTTGTCACCATGGTCTGATCCTTGGTGGGAACCATGGGGGAAGAATAATTTAAGAGAGAATCGTGGGACAACTCCTACGTCTTCCTAAACGCATGGTTGGAATAGGAAGAAATAAATGCAGTTTTCAGGACTTTAAAGATGGGTTACCCACAGAACAGTTAGATCACAATCAAGAAATTTACACTCTACACCGCTAGAAGAGCCCATAACAACATTATTAGCAGCTGGGTATGGAACAGTACGTTTCTGGAAAAAGCAAAGATTCCTCAATTTTAATACATAGGGAAAAAGCAATCCAATACAGAAAATGGCAGACAGCATTACTTCCAGATCAAATATATTTAATAAAAAAAAAATCTTCTGATTTCTGTAACAGGAAGGAGTCTGTCAAAGCTAATAAACAGAGATTTTAGTATGATTATATGAAAAATCCATGTATGGCAATATGAGAAGCTTTACAAACACTGACTCTGGTACTCACCCTAAAGTTGTCAGGAGAGCTTAGATATAGTTTTTCCCTAATGTCTTCTGGAGCACCAGCACAAAGCCTGTAAAAGATATGATAATTCCTCTCTTCTTTGCCTTGCACACAGATCCTAGATTTCTCCAGAAGGTAGTGTGATACAAATCCACCAACCACCGAGTTCTAGGAAGAAGAAATATTTTTCTGATTATCTGCATATTTTTTGGATTATTTGAGATTCAGAAGGTTTCAATTTACATTTGTCTGATCATGGCTCGCTCAATGGACACTGCTCCAAAGAAGATTAAAATATATCTATACCTAATACGTATGAAGCTTAGAAAAAAACCTATTGCCTTTCCCTAACTTCTCACACGCCCACACTCATGTATTGCACACTTAAAAGAAGGGTCTGCTTCACCCCAACAAGCTGAAATCCTTGATAGAATTCCAGTAGTTCCTGCAAAGAGCATTGCTACAGCCACCCTTTCACTTTCAGTGGATATCAGAAAGCTCTATTACAACCTTCTCTAGTTGCATTTCACTGAGACTATCATCTGGCCTATGATAAAATTCCCTGTGCCTAGACAAATCTGAATAGCAAAGAAATTCCTGAGCTTATGGCCATTACAGCAGCTAGGAAGGACTTACTGAATGACACATTTGACTATGGTTATACAGTCATTCAGGAGGCCCTAGTCTGTACTTGTATTTCTTTGAGAAATCAGACCTAATAAGGTCACCACAAAGTGAATTTTTGTGAAGTATGGAGTCTTGTAAAAAAAAAAAGCTTAAGTAAACAGGCTGATCTTGCACTGGAAAGCTGAAACAGGCTTTTAAGCAGTTTCTGAAGATAGTTTGAGTGCCAATTGCCTCATCTGAAGCAATTAATCTGAAACACCATGTAAGTGTTGACAGATAAGTTGACACAGCAGGAA